CATTGGATATAAGTCCACCATTTACTCCACCATTGGCTGTGGAGAATATCTTGTACGTGAGGAAAAAACGATGACAACAAACATCATTCCCGATTTTGAATAGGTCGATTAGGCTTGGTCAATAGATGAAAGCAAAAAAATGAAACACCTGCCACAAGTAAGAATGCCATAGACACAATGATGAAAAATACCATTAAGAAAAGAGCAAGAGTATCAAATCCAATGAACTTTCTGTCTTTCGCATTGGCGTTAAGCTCATGTTCAAAATGTATATCATTATCAGGATCCTCAATATTATTTCCAAACAATTTTCTGATTCGTTCTTTGAAAGATGTTTTTCCTCTTGAAGTTTAGTGAATAATGATGTTGACAATCGATATACCTACTGCAAAGACCAGTAGAAAAAACAAAACAAGAATATACAAGCAAATTATAGCAATACTTCTAATCCTTGTAACCACCCAACTACTAATGATAATCCGTATGTGATGAAAGGGCTATATTGTGTGTTATATAGGCTGCTTGTAAAAAGCCAAGCTCTTGCCTCCTTCCTGCCATATCTTTAAACAGCAATCCACACCCATTAAACCTTGAAACACTTAACAAGGCTTCAAAAGAGTGTTTACATTTGGTATCTTTGGCATGAGAAAGGAGTGTGATAAAGCAACCACACAATGCTATTGATAATCCCAGAATTCCAGCAACAAAAATAGTGATATAAATGCTATCTGGTAAGCCTCCAATGATTGTGCTGCTCAATGTTAGAATTTTCCCACCAAGCCATGATGTCCTGTATACTCACAAATAATAGAGCAGGTGTCATCACGCATCCAATAAAAGCTGCTGCACTCGGAAAATTTGCAGAGTCATGTTAGGACGGATCTGATTGTAAGGAAAAGCTCCACATGGACCCACCCACACCAAACCAAGCAGCGAATTGCAGTCCTCATCGAGAGATGAACAGTACACACACTACCTCCCTGATATCTTTCTTCCTTAACGCTTCTCAGTCATTCCACACCATTGCCCTGATTGTCCTCTAAATCACTTGAATCCTGGTGTAATGCCGCACCTGTAGAGAAAGCCCAGCACATGCAAAGTGAAAGTCATAGCACAACACGATATGTGATTCTTTCACCCTGTGTGTGACGTGGCACAAGAAGTTTGTTGCATCAGAGTTTGTGTGCTAGTCTAAGAGCTGCACTCTCGGTAGATTCACTCCAACTGACGACTCTCTACGCTCATATAGAGAAGAAAAGGGAGAGTAGCCGATGATGTTTGGATGTAAAATAAAGTACAGAGTGGCAGTTGACCAGACGTAGTCACACTGGAAGTAGAGAAGTTGTATGTCACAGTGCCATACACAGAGGACTATCGACATGGGGAGGAAGAATGTTGTTTGCACAGCAGAACTTATTTGATCCTCTTTTAATTCCTCTTCAGCAGTCGTTATAGTACACATGTGAAATTTTCACACGCTGCTGACAGTAATAAGACAAAATTGCCCGTCCGAAAACAAGCAGACATATCAGAAGTTTCGTCGCCATCGTCATGAATCTGCATAGATAGTAAATAAAGTAAATCAGCAGCTGATAATGACATAATTCATACCAGCACTTGGCTATGTAGCATAGCAACCCACAGCAAGTGCTTATTATGGTAGAGCACAGATAATTTTAGCAGAGCGTGATGTCTCTTTTATACTCTTCGTGCAGAGTGTGTACAGTACTACTGCCCCGTCCCCCTAAAAACTAACCTGTATGATCACCAACTGAAGTTGCTGATGGGAACAGTACACAACCCACACTCATTGTCTAAATCTGTCACATTTCTTAGATTACTACTACAAATTACAACACTGATATAGTAGCTACTCTCCCCAGAACATGAGCCTCAGTCATGTGTACAAACGGCTAGTGTTCCCTGTGATATGCGAGTACAATATCATCCGACAGATAACCTTACCACTTCTGAAGTGTTGTGAATCCCCGACAGGTTTATGAGAATGCCTGCCATCATGGCATCGAGTCACTGTGAGAGAGTGAGAGATGATGGAGTCTGTGTTTCCTCTACACTGCATGTCTCTTTCTTTTCTCTCCAGTCCTAGCATCCACACTCGTCCTCGCTCGTCTTTACTTGAAGATGAAGATGTGAATCACAGAAAGTAGTTCGCAGTCACAAAAACGACTTTTTCTAGCGTGTCATCGCTCCATCTCCCAACTCTTGCATTTCTGATGTCACCATCATACTGTAAATGTAATATGTAATAATAAAACAAACTGTCAATTATGCTACTCAATACTACAACCACCCTTATACAAATTTTACTCCCCAGACTGTCCTACATTTCTGTGAGGTTTCTTTCCTGTGGGCAATGTATCCTTGAACATCCTGTGTTTGTGGATAGCTACTTCAGTAGCAGTAGCTGCGACTGTAAGCTCATTGTGAGGGTCGAACCTTTCCTATTTTCCTTGTCCAGTTCCTTAAGAGACTGCGGTGACGACCGCCAAGGGGACACTGCTGTAGGCAGAGAATACACAGTCACTGGCATACGTGCATCAGCTTGCAACTTAGTCAGCCAGCTGCAGCGCATATGCGTCCAGTTTCACAACAGGAGAGGTAACTTACGTGATTGGAGGATTGTGGTCATTTCACTAGAAGTCTTTTTCGTGACTACTAACTAACTACTCTCTGTCTTCATAATTTCTATCTTCAAAAAAGGACGAGAGGGTGTCTGTGTGGAAGATGAAGATAGAGAGAGAGGCGAGGTGGGAGAGGACATGTACTGGACCTCATCATCTCTAACGCTCACAGTGACTGATTTCCTTTCACCAAACAAACTTTTGGTGCCAAATTTAGCATCAGCTTTTGGCCTTCATTAGATGTATACATTCCAAGCCCTGTTACACATAGTGCAATGACCATCTGACATTGCTGGCCAACCAATGAAGGATTGCAGTGCACCCAATGCAAAGAGCAAAACAACCTGACAATGATATTGAAAGTAGGAAAAGAGAGTACACTACTCATGATGAACAAAGAGGTATAGTTTCCTACATCTGGATCAGCAATATTCATTGTTCACAACAGGGACGATAAACAACTGCAGCAAACGTACTACATGTATGTATAACAGGGGGAACATTCGTACGCTATACGGGAATGGTCAGGGTAAATCTCACAATTTCCTCCTAGTAAAATAATGTATGTGTCAGCAAAGAGGTCAAACCAATGCAAAGACAAACAAACTACTCACGCCCAGGACAACTCCAAGAGCTGCCCTGGATTGGATTCTTACACACGACACTCTGCTCTCTAGGCGAGCGCTCTACTAATTGAGCTATAATATACCAGGGGAACAGGAAGAGCAGGGGTTCAATCTTCAACACATAGCTACAACACAAAGGAAAACCTCAAACCACCGTGCTGCATCACAGTATATACACTCTCACTCAGTATGTAGGAGTAATTAGTGCACAAAACGTGGCCATTGCTTATGACATTTCATGCCATAATGAACCTCTTCCACCAACTGATCCATATATAGGGATCGATGTATGATTTTTGTTTTTTCAACTGAAACATCTTTCTTGTTGGTGTCCTTTTTCATAATTTACGCCATCCCTACATTCCCTTCATTTTGAATAACTACCCAGCGATTTGTGTATCTACCTGACGATTTTAAGCTATATGATTTAGCTAAACAGCGCTGAAAGGGGGTAGTCTGATGAAGCTACTAAATGGTTTACAACGTGAATTTTGAGACAAATGGTGCCCCATAACAAACAGCTAACATACTCAGTGCTGAACAATCACTGTATCATTTTGCGCGCGTATAATCCTGCTGAAGAATGACTTCATCATTTTGCGCGTGCGCACACATCCGCGCGCTCGCAGCACTCCTAGAAACGCCACTGACTGAATGTCTCCAGATTCGCCGAATGTGTGCACGGACATAAAGCGACGTTGTCGCACGGTAGATCGTGGAGCTCTTCCATGAAATTATAGTTCATAGCATACCAGCCATAGGTAGTTGTATGATACTTGCGTGGGTGGATCAAAGCTGGAATGCGAGGTCTATCACGCGTTTCTTATCAGATTGTGTGTAAACCACAGTTATGACAGTGTACAATATTCTATAGAAGATAGAACATACAGGATGAACGTAGTCTGAATAGTCTATGGCAGATAGAACCTTCCCAGCTAGAAACGACGAAGTATGGGTCTAGTCATGTCAACGCTACTCAGCAACACTGCGTCAACAACTGGAGACGACTGATCCATCCAGAACGAAGAGCCAGAAGATGTCGCGCGCCCGCTAGCGCTTTCGGGGTGGTTGCAAGCATAGCAGCAGAGAGGGCGGCGGCGGGCCGGGGCATTCTTGCGCGCTTTCTCGCTTGGGTGCGCGCGGACTAGGTAAAGCCGGTCGGGTTGCCAAGCATCATACAAGCCATTTGTACGATGTCGTAATGCTTGTGGTTTACGTGACGCACTCGTGGCTCCGTTCAATAGAACACTCGGGCTGCGCCCTCGTGTTCTATTTAACGGAGCCACTCGTGCGTCACGTAAACCACAAGCATTACGACATCGTACAACTATAACATAGATAGATAGATACAAACCACCACCAACATAATTATATCCACAAACCACAAAATATCCATACAAAACACACATACACAAATACACATGACATGACATGAGAGCAGGACACTGGCCATGGGAGACACTGAACGACGCCATTTGCTGCAAACTCAGCAAGCAGTCAGCAGCGCATGCGTCTCTCGAACACAGTCGTTTCAGGAAAATCGTCTAATTACTATTCAGGCTCGCGTAGTTGGTGTCCCGCCGCGTAGCCTGTAGTGCGAGAATAGCTGCTGACAGACAGACAGACAGACAGACAGATAGACCGACTGACCGACAGACACGCACAGACCAAGTACCGTCACCATCGCTGCGCATGCGCACCGAGGGTTAATAACACGTGCTACTTACAAATCTGAAAGCACAACAATCACACAGCTATAGTTAAAATAATAATTATTACAAAAATCAAAACTCGTCCTCAAGTAGAGACAAAAGTAGTAAGTATCGCTTGTTGTCCTCAGGACGTCGAGCTTGTGGCTGAATAGGCTCTGGTGAACCTTCTCAGGCTCAGGCTGAATAGGCTCTGGGGAACCTTCCTCAGGCTCAGGCTGAATAGGCTCTGGGGAACCTTCCTCAGGCTCAGGCTGAATAGGCTCTGGGGAACCTTCCTCAGGCTCAGGCTGAATAGGCTCTGGGGAACCTTCCTCAGGCTCAGGCTGAATAGGCTCTGGGAAACCTTCCTCAGGCTTCGGAGGCTCTGGGCTTCGTTGATTTTGAACAGTATTAATATTCTGATAGAGAAGGGCAGCAGTTAGAGCATTAGCCTTGTCACTGTTCACATGCATGGGAGGAACTCCGATAACCTTAACCAACGCCTTTCTGAAATGAGTTATAGCATGACACAGCAAAAACAATCAAAAAGAGCATTAAGAACAAAGCAAGAGTGTCAATTCCAATGGACGTCCTTACTAGAGAATTAGCATATAGCTCTTCTTCAAAATGATTAAAAGTGTTTGTCCTAAAATTTATAGTTTGGTTACTTTGTCCTTTGTCCGTTTTTCCTCTCCAAGTAAAATGTACAACAACAGTTGAAAATCTATATATATACTGCAGAGACCAATAGAGAAAAACAAACACAAGAATGTACAGCAATATTATGAGCAATACTTCTCTCCTCGTACGACAACCCCAACTACTAATGATAATCGAGCATGTGATGAAAGGGCTATTATTGGTGTATTAGGCTGCTTCTAAAAGGCCAAGCTCTAGCCTCCTTCCTACCAATATCTTTAAACAGCAATCCACTGCCAATTAAACACTTGAAACACTTAACAAAGGCTTCAAAAACTCTTTAAGTTCTGTGTATCTTTGTCATGAGAAAAGAGTTTGATAGAAGCAAACTACAATGCTTGAATGATATCCCAGAACTTCAGCAACAAAACAAAGTGATATAAATGCTGTCTGGTAAGCCTCCAAGGAAATTGCTGCTCATCTTTGAATTTTCCACCAAAGCAATATGTCCATTACAATCACAAATAAAGAGAAGGTTTGACCAATCCATAAAAAGCGGCTATACTCGGAAAATTTTCAGTGTCATTTAGGTAACATCTGATGTAAGGAAAAGCTCCATGGACACTCACCCACACCAAAACCAAAGCAGCAATTGGCAGTCCAATACTCAGAGAGAGAACAGTACACACTCTTTTCCCTGATGATCTTCTCTTACGCTTCTCAGCAGCCACAACATATGCCTGATGCTCTCTAAATCACTTGAAATCCTGGGTGTAATGCCGCAACTGTAAGAATACAGCACATGCAAAATGAAAGTCATAGTCACAAACAAGATGTGATTCTTTTAACCCTGTGTGTTAGAGTGAGCAAGAAGTTTGTTGCATCAGAGTTTGTGTTGCTAGCTAAAGAGCTGCACTCTTCAGGTAGATTCAACTCAACTGAACGACTCTTATTAGCTCAATATAGGAGAAGAAAAGGGAGAGGTAGCCGATGATGTTTGGATGTAAAATAAAGTACAGAGTGGCAGTTGACCAGACGTAGTCAACACTGGAAGTAGAGAAGTTGTATGTCACGGTGACATACACAGGACCATCGACATTGGGAGGAAAGAATGTTGTTTGCAGCAGAAACTTATTATGATCATCTAACGCATCTTCAAGGTCGTTATAGTCACATGTGAAATTTTCACGCTTGCTGTCAGAAAAAGAAAAAATTGCCCCGAAAACAAACAGACATATCAGAAGTTTCACCATCTCATTCACACGCCGACTCTGGCTTGAATCTGGATAGTAAATAAAGTAAATAAAGCAGCTGATAATGAACATAATTCATACCACTTGGCTAAGTAGCAGCCCAAAAGCAAGTGCTTATTATTGATAGAGCAACAGATAAATTATACAGGAGCTTAACTGTTCTTTTTATACTCTTCGTGCAGAGTGTTGCTACTCCCGTCCCCACTTATTGTAGTTGCTGATGTGAACTGAACACATCCCACAATCATTGTCTAAATCTGTCCCATTTCCTCGAAATTACTACAAATTACAACCACTGATAGTAGCTACTCTCCCAGACTACTGTTTGTTCCATGGGTATAATGTGAGTAAATTATCATCCGACAGACCACTTCTGAGTTTGTGAATCCTACAAGTTTAGAAAATACACTGCCACTGGCATGAGTCACTGTGAGAGAGTGAGAGATGATGGGGTCTGTGTTTCCTCTACCACTGCATGTCTCTTTCTCTCCATCCTCATCATCCACACTCGTCCTCTCGTCTTTTATTGAAGATGAAGATGATGAACACAGAAAGTAGTTCGCAGTCACAAAAAAGAGTTTTTATAGGGTGTTACGTACTATCTCCCAACTCATTGCATTTCCTGATGTCACCTTCACACATTGTTTCATTATGCTACTCAATACTATAACCCTTATACAAATTTTACTCCCCATAATGTGCCTACAGTTACTGTGAGGTTATTTCCCAGTGGACAATAATATATCATTGAACAATCCTGTGTTTGTGGATAGCTGTAAGTCCAGAGAATACACAGCCACTGGCATACGTGCATCAGCTTGCAACTTAGTCAGCCAGCTGCAGCGCATATGCGTCCAGTTTCACAACAGGAGAGGTAACTTACGTGATTGGAGGATTGTGGTCATTTCACTAGAAGTCTTTTTCATGACTGCTAGCTAACTACTTTCTGTCTTCATCATTTTTTATCTTCGAAAAGGACGAGAAGACGTCTGTGTGGAAGATGAAGATGGAGAGAGAGAGGCGAGGTGGGAGAGGACATGTACTGGACCTCATCATCTCTAACGCTCACAGTGACTGATTTCCTTTCACCAAACAAACTTTTGGTGCCAAATTTAGCATCAGCTTTTGGCCTTCATTAGATGTATACATTCCAAGCCCTGTTACACATAGTGCAATGACCATCTGACATTGCTGGCCAACCAATGAAGGATTGCAGTACATGCAATGCAAAGAGCAAAACAACCGAACAATGATTGTGAAAGTAGGAAAAGAGAGTACACTACTCATGATGAACAAAGAGGTGTAGTTTAGTTTCCTACATCTGCATCAGCATGATTTTTTTCCTGACAGCAGGGACGATAAGTAAACACAGCAAACGTACTATATCAGGGGGAACATTCCTATGCTACAGGAATGGAATGGTCAGGATAGATCTCACAATTTCCTCCTAATAAAAAATGTATGTGTCAGCAAAGAGGTCAAAGCAATGCGAAGACAAACAAACCACTCACACCCAGGACAACTCCAAGAGCTGCCCTAGGTTGGATTCTTACACACGACACTCTGCTCTCTAGGTGAGCGCTGTACCAACTAAGCTACCAGGGGAATAGGAAGAGCAGGGGTTCAATCTTCAACACATAGCTACAACACAAGACAAAGGCAAACCTCAAACCACCATGCTGCATCACAGTAGCTATATACACTCTCACTCTGTATGTAGGAGTAATTAGTGCACAAAACGTGGCCATTGCTTATGACGTTTCATGCCATAATGAACCTCTTCGACCAACTGATCCATATATTACAAGTGGAAAAATCATTTCTTCAAAATGAAGGGAGATATAGGGATGGCTTGAAGCACCAAAAAGGAAGAAACAAGGGGTCATTACACAGCAAATGTGCACAAAGCCACATGACACCATCCCTATATCTTTGTTTTATGGATCATCAGCAAAGTTTCATATGAGACAGAGATATAGGGATGGTGTCATGTGGCTTTGTGCATATTTCGTGTGTAATGACCCCTTGTTTCCTTGTTTCCACTATTTTTAATGGCTTATGACAACACTGCATTTTCAGTCACTCTGATGTTCATGGGTATGTTGTAGAGATAACTGTTGAAAGCAGAAGCTAATGGACTGCTCTTACCTGAAGCAGGGTGTATGCGTAGTGTCTCCAACAAGGACGCGATTAGGTTGTGGCACATATGGTGGTGGTTTCATTGGGCAGGCTTCAGAAATCAGACTACAATGATAGCTATAACCTGGGGGACAAAGAATGAAGGCGCCTGGCAAGGCACGCGTAACACGGCGCAGATTGCCAAGTTGCTCCTCGTGCAAATCAACAGCAAAACGCAAGCTAGCCACTTACAAATGTGTACACTGACTTACAGAAGGCACTGGAGGATGAGAGTAGTTTTCTCTGCAGGCATCCAGTCCTGGCTTAGTCTCGTTCGTGGACCAGGTTTACGAAAAATGCGCGCGCACCGCATTGGAAACGCCCTCCTCGGCGCATGCGGCTCACTGATGCTGAGTTAGCAGCAAATGGCGTTGTTCAGTGACTACCGAGGAAGAGCTCAACGATCTACCGTAGTGACTTGCGGCAAGAAACAAACGATCGCTTGATATGCGTGCACACCTCCGGCAAATTCGGAGACGTTCTGTGAAAAAATCAACGCTTCAAGTGCTTCCGGTAAGGAGCTAGCGGGTCTGAAGAAGAAGAAGAAGAAGAAGATGAAGATAATGATGATGATGACACGAAAATCGTGAAATCGCGTATGAGCGAATTCTCGCGTGGACGACTGAAGGTGCGTATGAGGTCTTGGGGGACATGTATAGGTAGATATGGGCCCGTAGACTATTGCTAGTATGTTTTGAAGGCCTAGGGAGTGATTCTCACCGAGTTTTTAGTCGTTTTGTACGCGGATCACTTGAGATTTCACCCGCGTCATCCCTATAATTATAGAGAGTCTACCGACTCTCTAATAGGATGGATGTATGATTTTGGTTTTCAACTGAAGCATCTTTCTTGTTGGTATCCTTTTACGCCATCCCTACATAATAACTACCCGGCGATTTGTGACCTGGGAGACACTGAAGGACGCCATTTGCTGCAATCAGTCAGCAGCGCATGCGCAGAGCATGGGCGTCGCGCTGTGGCTGCCAGGCGTGTTTGACGGACCTGCAGGAGAACTCTCTGAGTCTCAGTCTCCAGTGCCTTCTGAAGTCCAACTAGCTAACCTGCTTTAGTGGGCGAGCGGAGGTTACTATTGCGAGCACTAATAATTTATAGCATTTTGCACGGAGTGTCTTTGGTGTATACTAATTTTAGCCATTTTTGTCTCCAAAATGTAATAAAAATAAGTATAATGTACGATGATGACAATTGATAATGATCTCACCCAGTGACTAGCAAGCAAGATCAATGCCTATGTGTTTTAGTCTGAAGTTGCACAAATCAAAGATGTCAAATTACCTAATATATACAGGCATTAAATACGTATCCCTCTTCCTCTAACAACTACACATCTCACCTGGTATTAACCCTAATCATAAAGCCTCGGCGCGCACGCCAAGCGAGGGTTAAAGTACTTGGTCTGTGCGTCCGTGAGTCTGTGTGTCCGTCTGTCAGCAGCTATTCTCGCACTACCGGGTTCGAGGTGGCCCAAGAGCGATAGCAAAGTCTTCAGAACAACGCTAACTTGAAAACTAAAATTTTCTGAAACGACTGCGTTCGACCGCGAAAACAAGCGAATATCGCACCAGCTTACCTCAACCAGCTCTTTGCGGAGGCACATGAAGTCACCACGAAGACCGTGCATCGACTCCCCCATAGGCATGCTATCTTATATTCGTGTCACCCTCTCTGCGACCAACTAGCGTGGAGACCACGCATACTCATAGCCCAGCCCATTCATTAGCGATACCGCGCATGCGTAATACGCCGAGGGTTGCACTTCAGTGCAATTAAACGGTGTCGCCGCGGAGACAGTATAATTATAGACGCAGGGCCTCCCTACCTTACGGTTCTGACCAACCTTACGGTGAGTGTGTGTATGTTTTTATGTGCCATTTTATGTTTGGGCGTTTGAGTTTGCCGGTACGTTCGTGTGTGCGCGCGTATATAGTTCTTGCGAAAACGTACCTGTGTGTTAGCGTGTGTGCGCGTAGTTCTTGCATCTGGCGCAAAAACGTGGCTGTGTGTTAGCGCACCTGGGCGAGACTTAACACAGAGGCGAGCGAATAAAAATACTCGGATATCCACTCTTCACCGTTTAGTAGCATTCACACAATATTTCCCTGCTACACTCATAGTTGTTCTGAGCTAAGACAGCAGCAGTGCAATGATCCATTATTACTGCCACTTCGAGCAATTTTTCTGTGCTTGGCGCACGGTTTCCCTCTCTACTAGCGAGCATAGGTATTATGATGATGTAACACTAATAACACGCAACGTGGATGTTGCAAAATTCACAGCCAGTGTCCTTCAAATAACTATAGCTAGTCAAAAAGGCACACACACTAATTGCTCATCCAGTGTCTCTTTTATTCACTAGCTAAGGATTTGGTCGTTGTTTGGTAGCTACTGGGTTTAATATTAGATTCATATTTTGTGTGTAAGAAGTCATGTGCTTACTCAGGGTTTGACGTCATGAATGTGAATCTGGTTATAGCCAAGCGGAATTCAGCACAAGTGGCAAAATCATCTTCAAAATAAAGGGGGAGATGCCCAAAACATGTAAAAGGAAGAAACAAGGGGTCATTACAGAGCTAAGACACCAAAGAGTTTACATGACAGCATCCCTATATGTTTGTCTGATTGTATTTGTGAATAGTAATATGGTATGGTGCTATGTAGTTTTGTGTGTGGTAGCTGTGTAATAACCCCTTGTTCTTAATTACAGCTATATCCCTATAATCATTCCCCTTCATTATGAAGAAATGATTTTTACACTTGTTTTATATATAAACAGCTCTGACTACACGGCATTTAACTAAATATCTAATATCCATCTGGTTGACAGCAAGTC